TGTTTATGGTAGTCGAAAAAATGTATGGTCTATAGAAAAAAAAATTGCAGTTACTATAAATGTCTAATTTTGGCAAGGTATCCTAAGAATAATGATCTTTGAAGGTACCTACCGCTTTGCCATTGTTTTAAAATAAAAAAGAATCTTTATTATTTGTTTTAATAATTACACACACACATATTTTGTCACAACTGAAGTTAGTTCCTTGGTTATCTCTGTCCCATTCGCGTTTCTACCGTGAAGCAGTTGTGTTTGCATGGGTGTGTTATGGCATAAAGGGTGGGAAATCGCAGTGAATTTACAGGGTATAGAGGAATCATATCTGAATCCTCAGGAACGGCAACGCATGGAGGGTATCATGGGCGAAACAATATACTCTGTTATGTCCATGATACTAGTCATATCTATAGTCGACGGTTACCACTTTCCATCAGGTGGACCATCAGCTTGTTTGCCATTCTAAGTTGCATAAAAAAATTGTTATTTTGTGGGACACAATCTTTATGGGACACTACTATACGTACTTATGACTAATTAGTTATAAGTATCTATAACTATCATGAACCTTTGTATTATCTAAGTTTAGAACCAATTAAATTTAAAAGGTTTATTGCTTATCAGTTTACGTATTTGATTTCAGTAATAAATAAAGTTAAAGAATAAGATTTCAGAGATCCTTGAAATGCACTACAAATTATATTGTGTTTACTATTGGAAAATATATAGAGTATAAATTTTTACAACGTGGTTCTAAAATTTGAATATTTTATAGAATATTGACCCTACAATTGACTATGAGTTTTTGTCGTAGTACCGGTTATTCACACGTTTAAATTTCGATTAGTGATTTTTTTGCGTAGCTAAATTATGTTTGTTTGGAGCGAATATTTGGTGAATTTTGCACCGATTTTGATAATATATTTATTTAAAGTTTAATTCACTGTAATCATTTGATAGATTTAACACCAATGGTGTTCTCTACTAGTCAACTACTGAGTAGAGACTATTTCTCTGTGTAGGTAGTGCATTCAAGAATTGAAGAAATATATTAATACTTAACATATTTACACATTATAAACATATAATTTTTTGTATATGTTTTATTATTTGATAGGTTTTAGTTTCATGTTGATAATTTCGTCACAGTATTTTTTTTGTAGAACGTAATATTTCTTTATCTTCCAAAGATGTTGGCCGATATAAAGACAATGTCACGGGTTACCATCAATCAGTTTGCAGATAAATCATGAAAGTACAAGCACCTGAACATGCCCGATAATTTTATTGCTTTGTAATGATATCTGACTTGTAGTAATCTCTTTTCTATTTGTTTAATAGCACGAAGGTGGCCAACAAGCATGCAGCCCGTTTGATGGTAAACGGTCACTGTAGCCTATAAACATTTGCAACATTAGGGGTGTCATATACGTGTACTTTTAGTGTATTGTAATTTTTTGAAGGAAATAAGTATCTATCTAACTGTTTCTATTTTATATCTCAAATAAAATAGAGACAGCTAGATAAATAATTTCCATATGGTTGGTGTTTTGTCTTCCGCAATAAATATATAGTTATTGGAGAGTTTGTCTACTTATTACAACTTCGTCTGTGCGATCAGGATATGTTCACTGACTAGAATAAATAAGCATATGTCCTTCTACATTCATAGAGTAGCTGTATACCAAATTTCATACTGATTGGTTAAGCCATTAAGGCACGGCTAGGTAACAAACATTTTCATATTTGTAATATTAGTAAGGATATTATCCTTAGAAAATAGTACACAATACAAACATTCTAAGATAATAATAACAATGAGTTATCTACAAGTATAAGTATATTTAAGTATCCTGATAGCAAACCGGCATAAATAAATTTCAAATAAATAAATTTCAAAGTTTTTTTTGTAGTACACTCTCGTTCCGTATTTAGTGTTGAATAGGCCTATAAGTATTATTGATAATGAAATATTTCCATATAACAAATTTGCTATATATATTTTTATCTATATATATTTTATATTTTTTACTAGGATCGTATCATCATCATCATATCAGCCTTTACCTGTCCACTGCTGAACATAAGTCTCCTCCTTGGGGGGTTTTGTTTGTAATTGTCACGCTTGGCAGGCGAATTGGCAACCGCACTCAGGCTTTAGATATGTTTTAAGAGGGACGTTACTACCCATCCCTCGCCTTCCGTTAGTCGGCTCTTACGACACTCACAAGAAAGGAAGCGGTGACCTATTCTATGTCAGGATCACACGACAAACTTTAGCATACTCGATATACTTTTTTTATTTTGTAAGAGGTTTTCGTTTAAAAGAATTTTGTAGATTTCTGTTATTATCATTTTACATAAGTGTACCTCTCTTAAGTCACCTACTTGAATATCTATTCGATTCAATAATGACGTTAGAATTTTTTACAAAGTAGTTTAGTAAGTAATTATACAGTATGATGAGAATATCAATACTTAAAATACGGAATAAATGTCGAAATTGATGTACTTATGTAAAAAAATTTAAGTTAGATACATGCTTGCGTCACTCCGAATAAAAAACTGCTTATATAAAATCTAGGCACTTAGTTCACTGAATCTAAAAATATTATAATTTAAAGTACCGATTACGATTTTGACAGAGGCATAATTTATCAATAGTTAGTAATGTGTGTAATAGTAATAGTTGATACTTCTAGATGGTTACATAGATTAATTATATTGAAATTGAAAGTTTCGTCGATATAAGGGCAGTGCCAAACTGAACATAATGATCATTTCCTCTGTAGTTAGGTGCCATATAGCCTAACTGACGTAGCTTAAATTTCAAATAGTAGTTTTTATACAGTAATTATGTCGAAAACCATCGGCGTATTTTAGATAATTTTTAAGGATGGGATTGATTGGAAGAGACCATTGCTTTTGGGATAAGAAAGCTCACCTTTGGTTACATTGTCTCTAATTATAATTATTAATGCATTGAGTGTAATAGTTTCCATGAATAAAACTGTATCGTACAAATATGACTACGCGCATTGTTAAAAAAAATATCCAGTACAGATATCGGACAACAAAATCGCGTTGGTCACCATGAAACAATATAACATGTGTTATGCGTATAAGTGCCTAATTTTCTGATAACATATTATTGCGGCTTGTGGTATAACAGTAGGTAATATTTGGTATAATCGCGCAAACCAATCTAGTGAATAGATTGGACAATATTATGTTTTCATATAGACAATAACAAAAATAAATGTGTGTGAGTCAAACAATATTTTCTTGTAATTGTTTTTATTTATAATAAGTTTACTATTGTAATTTTATAGAGGAAACAATAAAGAGTATTTATTTATCAAATAATAGAAATATTTGTCTTCAAGTCAAGTTTCATACGTGGTAGACAGAGAAATCTAGTGTCACTCGAGTATCTATCTTTACATATATACACACATCTATTTCTCTCTGCACTAAGTAGGTATATTAACATTTATATAAATACTAAATAAATTTATCTTGTCGCTAATTAATGTTCAAAGTGATATTTTTTTGTGTAAATTTGATTTTAAATGTCATATTTTCTATATTAATTACCGAGTACCGTGAATTTTATGTAAAACTTATTTATCATAGATGTCTACCTTCCTAATATTATTAACTGGAGGTAAAGGGATTGTTAGTAATTGGGTGTAACTGACTCATTGCTAGCAATACACCCTACCTAAGTTAGCTACAAGTATAATAATATGTAAGTATCCTGATGGCCGGATGTTCATAAATAAATGTCAAATAAGTTTTTGTAGTACACCCTTGTTTCTTGTTGTTATTTAGCGTCGAATAGGCCTATAAGTATTATAAATAGGCCCATAAATACTCTACCAGGTTGACCTTCACGCGGTTCCCCCTGGAAATCACCGTGGATAACTCTAGTGGAATTCATCACGATGAGCTAACTGACCTGCATTCATCGTTAACTATCATCTCCCACTGGTGCCCTGCCAGCGTATACCATGCGTATATCATAGAAATTTTAAATGAAATAGGAATGAGCGATATTATTTAAATATTGTATTGTATTTATATTAATATTGTTAGTTTAACTTAATATCAGTAATTTATTATTATCTTAAGCTATATATATATATATATATATATTCCAGCTGCCACAATATAATTATTATTTTAATGTATAAAGTTGTTATTCATATTGTTGTTTTGTAGCTTAATAAATGATTTTATTTTTATTATTATATTTTTAAACATCGATATTTTCCTAACAATAAAATTGCGATATTTTGAAGACAACTGTATCGATATGAAAGTATCTATATTTTGCTCTTTGATATCGATATTTCGTTTATGTCGATAAATATTGTTCATCTCTAAAAAGCAATTACGCCGTTGCACCATTTCGAAGTATAGACATTAACAGAAAAATATGACTAAAATAAACTTAAATCATAAAAAATATCCTATTTAAGATTTTTTTTAAATATATTTCTATTCAATTTCACTACAGATAAGTAGTGGTAAGATACAGTAGAGGGTTCTCCATATACGAGTCTCGTACATACTCCATATACATATGAGGCAATAATAGATGGACAGATGATGTGGTTGTCAAGATACAAATAAAAAACGTGTTTTATACTTAGGTATCACAATAAGTATATATAAAACTCAGTATAAACACTCTACGTAAAATAATAATATATAACTATTGACTATGGTCGAACAAGTTGGTACGTACGTACAATAAAATAAAAAGTAATAGATAATAATTAATTTTTAAATAAAAAAAAAACTATGTTTAATTTAAATTTAAATTCATATAAAAATAGTCAATAAAAGTAATTTTCTTTTCTAGAAATGACCTAAAAATTATAATTGTAAATATGTGTTCAAAAACATCAATAACTAAACTGGCAGGACAGGTATTTAATTTATTTACGTATTTTTTTTATATGTATTTACAAAGTAAAAAAAATATGGCAACTTACCTTCCTTTTTTATCCTTCATGTTGTATTAATCAATATTTAATAAAATTTATATCTATATAAAGAGATTTCTAAACAACCTCAACTTTCACTGAGTCCAAATTTTAACTACTGGGCTGTGTTTTGGAAATAAAACTAAAAAGTCTGTTCCTATCAAATACTAATAACCGGGATGTACTGATTCATTGTGAATTGCCAAAACATTGTGAATGAAACAGATCGATAGGAGGGTTGTTACAATCGCCGCGGCGACTACAGACGGCCGAAGGGAAGCAACTGCGGTTTACGACCGCGCGTTCGCGATTCAGCCGAACGCTAGATATGCTCTACCACTCTACGTATGGAGTCTGACGTCACTGGCGATCAATGGGCTGCGGACCTTGAACTGTCGCGATAGACGCGCAATTCGACGCGGCGGGGGGGAAAGGGATTGTTAGTAATGGAGACTAAGAATCCCATTGCTAGCAATAAACCCAACCAGGTCGACCTCCATGCGGTTCCCTCTGGAAATTGTTATGATTAATTCCTGATGAATTCATCATGATAGGTTAACTGGCCTGTTTTCATCCTCATCGATCACCCTTCACTGGTGCCCCGCCAGCGTATCCCGTTAGCATAGGCGGGGTTATCATTCCATTTTTATCCAATAAAAAAAATACGACGCGGCGATGTGCGGATAAGCTTGCAATTTTGCATATTAGCCAACAGCATCGCAATGCATATTAGTAAAAGTTACACGAAATTAGTAAGTAGTATTCCGCAAGAATTGATCTGATACATGAGTCCTAGGTAATTATTGAAACAAGTTGAGGAATGTCAAATGCACCTACCTACCTTGTTAAAGTCGGATAATATTTTTTCTACCATGTATGTCAGGTACTTGACTCTGGTAGAGGAGATAAAAGGGGTCTCGAAAAAGCTTTACGAATGTTTGCTTTACGAGTGATTATGTCGGATTTTGTAGCGTTTTGGGGTGGTTTTTAGAGATTGGATTCTTTATCAAGATTTTGATCTTTGATGAAAAAATACTACAACAACAAATAAAACCTTTACCTGGTACCTTTTCTGCACTGGATTATCCAAATTAAATAATTTTCTCTCTAACTACATTGGGTTGGCTGGAAGAGATTTCTTTCAGAGATAAGTCCTCCCTTGCTAACAAGTTGTTAAACTAATCGTCGCATATATTGTTTAACTGCAATAAAGAATATATAAAATCGTGACAAAATTAATATAAGACTATTACAATAGTGAACTGTATAGATTTAAAAAATATAAAATTAACAAAATTGGTCTACATTTTATAAGAATATTTAAAGAATATCTCATCCTCAGCGGGGTGGGTTGACAAGTCTGCTAAAATATGGTATAACGCAATAACAACTAGCTCCTCGGTCAGTTGATAAGAAAGTTTGTGAGAATGAATTTATGGATGAATGTCTGTTAATGTTTTACGCAAAAACTACTGAACGGATTTAAATGAGATTTAGTACACGGATAAGTTATATCGTGACTTATATACATATATCATAATTTACATAGAATATATTACATATATCGTACATAGAATACCTTATATAATTATTAACGCGGAAAAGTCGCGGGATATAACTAGTTTATCAAAAAGCCTTTGAAAATAGGTTATTTTCGAATTCGTTTGTTTATTAATAGTTTGTTATATACGAGTAAAGTAGATTTGATTAAATAATAGACTTTTAGTTTCCTTTATTTCACATTCATTTAAATCTGGCTTAATAATGTTTAATATTAACTATATATTAAGAATAAATAGAGAACCAGTCCATGTTTCGTTTTACGTAGCAGTACGAAATTTTCATTAAGGTGTAGACCACTTTGCAGTAATTTGTATAATGGATAGTCTACAAGAGCTCGTCATCAACATATAGATTGTAACTTCACATAGTATTTTATTAATACGCAATTCAGAACAACAAAATATTGGACCTGAGACCAAATTTTGCAATAATTAGGTTCATTATTAATGATGGACTACTTTTCAGTAGCTACCTATATCAATATTGATTCCAACACTTGCATTTTTCATTCAAAAATTTATATAGATAAGTTTCTAATATTTTTAATGGACTATCCAGAATAAACCGAGTGTAAGTTCGTCACAGTATAAGTGTCGTTCTGTCGATTTCGTTTTACATGAACTTGTTATTGTGTGATAGAGAAACTTTCAATAATTACGTATTTATTGAACAGTTCATATAATATATATTAGCTACCATCCTGGTATATAATTCTAATTCAAAGTTATTTATTTTGATAAACATGGTCCTAAACGATGCCCGTATGGAATAGCTTCAAATTACTTAGTGAGCTATGGCGAGGGCTTTTTTTATTAACGGGTGATAATGGATAGGTAACCCCACTTGTGCTATCGGTACACGCTGGCGAGGCACCAGTGATAGATGATAGATGACGAAGAAAGTCAGTTAGCCCATCGTGACGAATTCTACTACGATTAACCACGATGGTTTCTAGGAGGAATCGCGTGGAAGTCGACCTGACAGGGTGAATTGCTAACAACGAGTCAATTAGATCCTGTTACTAACAATTCCTTTCCCCGCGCTATGAAGAGGGTTATGCTATGCTGAGTTTTTTTGCGTGACAGAATCCGAAATGAGGATATGCGCAAAAGAACTAAAGTTATCGACATAGCCCGAAGGGTAAGTAACTTAAAGTGGCAATGGGCTGGTCACATAGCTCGAAGAACCGACAACTGATGGGGAAGAAATGTTTTTGAGTGGCGACTACGTACAAACGCAGTGTAGGACGACCACCCCTAGATGTAATGACGACCTCAATTGCATTACAGGAAGTCAGGATGCAAGTGGCTCAGGACCGTTCCTTATGGCAGTCTATGGAGGAGGCCTATGTTCAGCTGTGGACGGATAATAACTGAGATGATGATATATTATAATATATATCTACTTCAATTGTATTAAATAGAAAAATTTGAATAAATAAAGAATTATCAATGTTCTTGTTGGATTTTGAAAACTTTTTTTGACGATTTTGATTTGGCCTCATGCTAATTTTATTAATATTAAAAATACACATAAACATGTGTATTTTTTAGAATAGAATATATTTTTAATTGATTCGAGAATAATTTATTTTATGTAGTTATCTTTTATTTATTCTACTCTACGTGTATATAGTACAGTTTTTGTTATTTTAGGCATTCGTATACCTTATAACTAATTTATTACATAATAAACAATTTTATATCAGATACGTTTAGTAGTTTTAGGTAAACAGTAATAATTATTTTATTACGCAGATAACGTGATTCGATCAGAGCTTAGTGACACGATATATTTGAATGCTAAATCATTCGTTGACATGTTGTAACATAGAGAGGTCAAATTGTGTAAAATTAATTAGACTCGATTAATTCATTATACTATGTTATATGTTTATATTTCATTGAATAAATAGTACCCACACTACCTATATTATTTGATTACACGTGGGGATTATTGCGTCATAATTAAGATTGAAAATATTACGCAATAGCTCGAAAGAGTAACGAAAGGGTCCCTACATTAGGTAAAAGGTAACTTGATCGAAATATGAAAATAACTTAAGACGCATGTAATGAGAGACGCTGCGAGTGCCTACTTTAAATTAGGTAAGCATAATATATAAAAACTAGGCATGTCGCTGGTGTCACTAATACTAAAGGGTCGACCTTAGCTCTGGCGCCCTTTAATTTTTTTTTAATGGATGACAATAGAATGTTTATTTCGCCTGCGCTATTTATATACGAGTACACTGGCGTGGTATCAGGGAGGGATGAAGCAGGTCGGGTGGTCCATCGTAACAAATTCAACAAAACAATTATGATGCTTTCCAGGAGGAACCGCGTGGAGATCTGCCTAATAGGGTATATTGCTAACAAATTGTTAATTTCTATCTATAACGTAAATTAAGATTGTGTTTCACAAAAAAAAAATTTACTTCAATTGTAGTAAAACCTGTTCTTTTTATTTCAAAATTAAACTATTGAATCGATTTTGATAAAATTTGTATGTGATTAATATGTAATCTGTTTTGTTATCTCTTATCCTTTCAGATAAAAAAAATCAAATCGATTTATATCTGACAGGATTATGAGGTAACAAACATATAAAATTGCTACCGAATTGAAAACCTTCTACTTTTGATCTATCTATCGATATTAAAATTCTTTTTCGAGCTTAACTTTTTCGAAAATAATATCAAAATAATTTAAGATTTCACACAAAAGTTTCCAAATCAGATTATAAATGACGAAGTTATAAAATAACCTAAGGAGGTAACAAACATAAAAAAGTATAACCAAATTTAGAACCGCCACCTTTTTTAAACGGTTGAAAATTTTTGGCACAAAAGGCGGACTTAATGCTACATATAAAGTATTTTCTCCCAGTCAACCTTTGAGAAAAGGCTAGATTAAGGCTAAATATTTAAATGTGTATATATATAGTTCTGTGACCACCTCGAAGATAAAGTGAATCGAAGCACGCCGGAGCGTGAAGTAATGCTTCGATCAATGCTCTACAAGACATCCTGCTCCACATGGAGTATTGCTGTTACTTATGGGCGGGAGCACCTAGACACCAACTTGAACCTTTCGACTCACTGCAAGGACAAGCTATGGGAATTATTTATGATCCCTAGCTTACAAGCAGTATCGAACCCTTAAGTCTTAGGAGACATTTTGCAGCACTCTGCGTGTTCTATCGCCTGTACAACGGATTATGCTCAGAGGAATTGTTCAATATGATGCCCACGGCCACTTTCTACCATCGTACGGCTTGCCATCAACGGGGAATTCACCTTCGCGGTTTTCGCGCGCGCAAAAACGCGGTTTCAAAAATGTTTTCTCCCACGAACATTCAGGTTATGGAATGAGTTCCCTGTCGAGGTTTCCCTAACAGACTCCAGCATGGGGTTTTTCAGCTTTCTTCAGGGTCGGCAACGCGCGCGTAATACTACTGATATTGCAGGCGTTCATAGGCTATGGTAACCGCTTACCATCAGGTGGGCCGTATGCTTGTTTGGCATCTCAGTGGTATAAAAAAATATTAATGGCAAATATGTTACATACATATTTATAATAGCGTATTATGTGTTGCACATACGGTTATACGCATATCAAACAAAAACTTGTTTTGTTTTTACAGTAAACTGGCTGTAAAAAAGTAAGTTGTAATTTGGTTTTTAACTTTGAGGCATAGCCTGTTTGAGGTATTTTAAATTGATAAAAATGCACGCTTTGTTGGTTGTCCTTAAATAAATTAAAAAAAAAAAGAAAAACCTAGAATATATTAGTTTTAAAATCAAAGTTTACATTGTGAATATTGTGTTTCATAGTACGATTGTTGAATACATAATAATATCTAGCCGATACTAAAAACATTGTCTTATTGTAAATTTCAATAAATTCGAATGACCTCGGTCATTAGGTTCACTTGCGCTATCAGTATATGGTATGCTGGCAGGGCACCAGTGAGAGATGATAAGTGCGGAAGAAAGCAAGTCTTTTTGTTAATCATGATTGATTCAACGATTCGTGGAGAGATTGTTTTGATAGCGTAAGCGAAGTTACTATTCCATTTTCATTCGTTAAAAAAAGGTAAAAAAAAACCTTTTGTAATATAAGAGTAGGAGCATGATGATGGTGATGTTGCTTGAAATATAAAGTACTTAGGTTTTTTATATTACCTAGGGGGCAAACAAACATATGGCCTGTCCGATGGTAAATAGAATTACCGTAGTCTAAGAACGCCTGTAACACCGGTGATGTCATGCGCGCGTTACCTATTCTTAAGAAAACCTAATACATCCTTTTTAAGAACCCAATGTTCTCTAGGGAAAGCCTCAGCAGAAAGATTATTCCACAACCTGAATTTCAAGGGAGGAAGCTGCTTTGAAACCGCACTGTGCATGACCATTCTGGTTCTAAGGTGCGAGGACGGAGTTCCTGCCGATGGCGAGTGGTACGATGATGAAAGGTGGCTGTAGGCATCATATTGAAGAGTTTTTCAGAACACAATCTGTTATACAGGTTTATGATAATTATTTATGTTGTCTTCACCCACGTTTTAATTTAAATTCGGCGATGCCCGAGATTAAGTTTCGAACTTAAAGGAGCACTGCATGTTACTCGCTGATAATATAGATTTCCATAAGTGAAAGAATTATTAAAATCGGTTGAGTAATTTTTTAGTATATCCATTACAAACACACAATCAAATCTTTCCTCTTTAAAATATTTGTATAGGTATATATAGCTGTGATCCGCAGCTTTGTTTGCGTTATTTGTTCTATAAATTATACTCCCTATACCTAACAATAAATTTTCCTTTAATATAAACTTCCACAATAGATGTAGTTGATAGTAAGGTTTTAAAAATTTCTTTAAGTACCAACTATAAGTACATTTAAACTTGATTATTCTCCACAATTAGTCAAGTCTTTTTTTATAGAAAATTCTTTGTAAAGTTATGTTTAAATTCAAATATGTATGCCCACAAAAGATAATAAAAACCTTTAAACAATTTCAATTGAAGAATACGGAAGTTCATTGGAGTATATCAATTAAAGCTATAAATAAAATTATTGATATTGTTGCTCCACATTTAGCTGTTATTTTTAATGAATGTGTTGATAATACTCTTAAACATTTTAATGAAAATTGTCAACTTCACAGTCAACTACAGTGGCGTAACTATAGATACCATTTGGGGCTTGTGGCAAATTCTTTAGATGAGGCCCTATCAGTAAAATATAATACTCAGTTAATTAATGCTGTTAAAGCCAGAATTCGTTGAAACCCCATTAGGAAGCAAAAAATCTTATCGCGAGAAATGAAGATTCCCGTTAGGACTCTGTCGCGTATTATAAAACAACTTATTTTAAACAAGACCTGAAGCTTGGTGCTTATCGTCTTTTGTCGCGATACCCAGGTGAAAGGCACAAAGGCACAGGCCCTTTACCTACCTTACCTTTTTAAAAAAAAATCACAATTGAAGAACACTACAATAAGCAAAATGATAGTGTACGCTCACAGTTCTAAAAAAGCTGCTCAAGTGGTCGGAAAGGTACAACGTGGTCATCATCCTGCGTAAGTGATAATTCTCTAATACAACAATCTCGATCGCCAAAACTTATTTTTCAAGCTATTTAGCTCGTTTGACTTTAGTTACGACAGTTTTTAGTGGAGGATGACCTGATAAAGTATATTACTAATATTGGGGTTGTTAGATCTCATTACTAACAATTCCTTTCCCCCAGTCCCCATTAACTCAGGGATATAGAGTTAATAGGGTATTATACCAGGTCACGTAAACCAATAGCGCAGGTAGGGTTACCATACAAATTTTATTAAAAAAATATGCTTATAATCATATAACTTGACCGTCAGTCCCCATTAACTCAGGGATATAGAGTTAATGGGGTATCATACCAGGTCACGTAAACCAATAGCGCAGGTAGGGTTACCATACAAATTTTATTAAAAAAATATGCTTATAATCATATAACTTGACCGTCGTAATTACTCTATAGTACCTAATTTTAGTATAATGATTTGTCATTTGTTCTATAAACAGCTTGTGGGTTTTATTGCAATTCGAGGAATTTAAGGATTTTTATGTACAATAACATTCCAGTTTATTAGCTTTATAGCTGTTGATGTTGCGAATGTGAATCATCTGTAGTCTCTTTGTAAAGTACCTACGGAAATCTTTGAAACGCATGCAGTCTTATTCATAGTCAGAGTGTAATTGTTAATCTTACCGCTATAAACTTAGAGCGTACGCGTTGATTTTGGAATTTTATTTTATTGCGTAAGAAGAAAATTAAATGAAATAATTCACTTTTAGAATGGTGTAATAATAAAATGATAATGAAATGGCGTCATCACTCATTGGCGGGGCACCAGTGAGTGATGACAGGTGAAGATGAAGCAGGTCAATTAGCCCATCGTGACAAATTTAACAATAAATCAATCACGATGGTTTCGAGGGGAAACCGCGAGGAGGTCGACCTGATATGGTTTATTGTTAGCAATGGGGTTGCAAATCCTTATCCAAAACAATCCCTTCTCCACTTTATCTATAGGTTAATTCCAATGAAGAACCTTGTATCTACGTCTAAGGGATTAGGTGGGTAATGCATGAAAGTTTGTAAAGACAGGATGCTTTTAACACGTTATTATGTTATTGATTTGTCTAATTCAAGTACCTGTTTCTCAATTTTTAACACATCGTAATCGATTTCACCTTTGCACTCTGACTCAGTATCAAGTATAGATAACATAAAATTTGCTATCGAGTAAATATTTAGAATTACTTTATTATCAAACGATAAACGTTAGGATTACAGTTCAAAGGACGTTTCCATATAAGTATATACTTGTAATGGGGATTGAAGTGTGATCTCCAACTATTATAATTTGAATCCTCCTAATATTATAAATGTGAAAGTTTATAAAATTATTCGTGTTTGTTAAGTGTTAAGTTTTAAAAATAAAGTTATAAGAAACTCAATGAAAGAATATTTTACAAAATATATCGATTTTGGAAAGAAAAATGTATTAAGCGTCGATATAGAGTATGAACAAGATGTCGCTATTTAGCTAAGTTACAAAATGATCAACCACAGAAATTAGGGAAACTACCTTTTATCACTCATTTTACCTATGTTTTTAAATTACGGAAGAAATACTAAATTCAATGGAATTTCACTCTGACCGGATAGTTGAGAGATATTGGTGTGCATAAAGTTCAGTCGATTAACCAGGAGGTAAAAATTTCAGTCTAATTTTTGTTTAATGTTTTTATTATATCTTAATGCCTATCCTACTGAACTGAAAACCTTTTTCTTTTCTTTGACTTATGGCTAAAGAGTTTTCCATTTTTAGTAAGAAAATTTTAAGAATGGTGAATATAAAAATAAATTTGGTAGTACGTTTAGAACTATAAGTTCGGGCTATGAATACGAACAGAGGTGTTAATTGGAAGCGACCAATGTATGAGTTATGACCCGTTACACTTCCGAAAACACCACCGTTTTGCAAACAGATGCATCCAATGTGTGTCATACAGACGATTCAGGCCCTATAAATATGGACGAAACACATTCAGTGATTAAACACAACGGTTCAATAGCCATCTGTACTTGACGCTCGGGGATTAAGTCTAATAATGGCTCAAATTTATAAATTATTTGGAATCCTTTTATTGCTTTTATTTTTTGTACTTCAAAGTCAAACGAAACCAGTAGAAAATAGTGGGGTAATACCAGATCAAGGTGAGATGATGGAGACTGCGGAGTCGCAAAACCCATTTTTACCTCGTTTTGCTATGAGGAGATTAAAAGAGAGACGCCGACAAGCTCAAGCTGAAAGGAAAGCGTATTTAGCACAAAGAAGAACTAATCCACCCTGTACACGACGACAAAAGATAAAAATCGCATACGCGGTGAGTGTTTGCATTTAGTAGTTCTATTTGTATTTCACACGTTCTTTTATCTGCAAATTAATGTAAACTTTATCATAAGCAGATTTTACAATTAGATTTTTTTTTATGAATGGATTGTAACTTTTTATTCATAGAAGTATGTTTTAAGAATGATAAGAGGCATTCCAAATTTCCAGTCCCATTTTTAGATTGAACAATAACGTGTAATTCACACATCGCTTTAAGACCAAATTGTCAATATTTATTCAACAATTTATTTTATTGAGGATACCTTTCTTTGACCTACATTTTTAGTATTATATATGTACGTAGCCTATGGCATCCTACATTGCTTTATTGGTTGCGCGATAAACAAGTCATATTGTTATTTCAGTAAATATGAAGATGCAAGTGATTATTCTGTTGGTGGTTTGTGTAGTCAGTGCCATTGCAGATCCTATTTCAAAACAAAAACTTTCGGTCGATAACAAGGAACCTTTGTCAGAAAGAAAAGCAACAGAAACAAAACACAGCGAAGGATTGTTAAACAATGTTGAACCAGAACAAAAGAACGACGCAGTGGGTACGGATTTTGTAACAAATGTTAATGATGAAAATGGCGAATACAGAGATTCTAATACGCAGATTATAATCGAAAGTATTGATAGCTCAGTCGACGAGGTCACGTCGCCATCTCCCATGTTAATCGATAATGACATTGCGCTAAATGGTGATATTTATAGCAATACACTAGTTAATAACCCAGATGAAATAATGGAAACAGCAGCCGGTTTCGTACCTATTCCAATATTCAGTAAAAGACAAAAGGCACGTCGAAGATTTGCAACACGACCTCATTTCAAAAGAAACCCATACGCATATAAGTACAGGGAAACGCAATACTATTATCCTTATTATAGATTTTATTATCCTAGCTCTCTAAATTATTATTAAATAGTCATATATTTGTATATTGGTACATAGGGTAACAATTTGTGTATATTAAATAAGGAATAAATTATTATTGTAAACAATTTTGTTTTAACACATTTATTACAAAAATTGCAACTATAAGCAAATCCCTTACCAATTTTAATTATTTCAAAATTATATATTACTAATCCGAATTATATTTACAATGATTGAAATATCAATTTGTTCACTATAACTAAATTAATATTACAGGACAAAAACATTGTACACTATATTGTATTACATCCATGGCAGTTGTTATAGTAGTACAATTTCATTACGCACTTAATAGGATCGATTCTGAGGTACCACTTCTCTAATCCTTCTTTTATCTTTATATTTTAAATGTTTTTTTTTTTTTTTTGCGAAGTGACTGCTTTATTAAATATTATAAATTATAATAATATTTCGACTTTAATCTATTAGAAAATTAGTTCATATTGATACTTACAAGAAAGATTTTGCTGTGATATTAAATTGGAATTTTATTTTTAAAGATAAGCTTTGAGAAATGGCAGAATCGACTTTAAGTAGTCGTTTAATTTTTCCCGTATTGAACGTATGACACAATAATTTAATTAATGTAAGGTTACTGCGAAATAGATGTGTACGAAATCACAAAATAGTTTCGATTCACTTGTGGCCATAAAATCATGTAAGACATAATTTAAATAATATCTACCAAGTAAAAGACATCTTACATTTCTTAAATAAATAAAACATTATAAATAACACACGCAGTTAAATGTACTTATCTCATTAAAAATAATTATCAAGTTATATAAGGCTCACTCGCTGGTACTTGTATAGAGTGCGACTCATGGTAACGACTGTACTGGAGTAGCGTTACGGCCGGAATTGATTCTTATACAACACTTCCTATGGCTTTTGTTACAGTAGGTATCAAATTGTAATGGATATTCAGTTTGATCAATACTTGTTCACGAAAATAGAAGCAATTCAAGGTCATTGTGGAAGAATAAGCATATTAGATATTCAATGATTTAGATTGACTTGATAGTTAAACTAGTTACTAACAGCAGTTACCACTTTAATTGCACTCTATATGTATAGTAAATTTGCGTGTGTGGCGATTCTCACTCATTTGCCGGGGCCGACAAGTGCTTCATCCATGAGTTCATCATCAGTAATGCATGGTGAATTTGAGTGCGGCGATGGAACTACTAAAGGGGAAGCTGCAGGGCTCTTTGCTAATTGCATAGCGAGTGCTGGTGAAGCGGGATAAACCGATCGCACCGCTACCATTCCCGATACTTTGCTGCCCGAGGAAGAAGAAAAGTCGAGAAGCATCTCGGCCGCTTCTTGCGGTGTGGTGGCACCGCTTCGGGCGACCGCCCCACTAGCTGGGGGCTTCATACAAGAATCAGCTCCCTTTCTATCTTCCGAACTGCCTTTTGGAGCAGGAAACCCCTTTACCATATCAGTTTTAAAGTCTAAAGGCATTATTGGGTATGATCCAGAAAAATCTTTCGGATCGTCTTTACTACGCTGAGGACTTTCTCCTTTAGATAGACTATCTGCCATCGCTTTGGTAAATTCTAATGGCCTATCTGATTGGTCCCCTTTGTTGGGTGTGGTAGTTTTAGGACTTATGCCGCCCATATTTAGTAAAGGTTTCGGCACGTTTAAAGTATACGTAGATTTTTGCATATCTGAGCCTCTAGCATTTGGATTATCAAAATGCGAAAATGGATATTTATTTTGGTCCATAGCCCTAGAAAAATCATTTACCATAGATCGACTGTCATATTGCGACACAGGGCTGTTTTTATCAGGAGTGCTTTGGTTTTTTAATTTTGGAATTTGAAATTTGCTAGTATCTAGAGGTTTCATTAGACCTTCTACCAGGAAATTTGCATCTTTTGAGGTCTTAAATCTATCTGAGTCTACTTCATCTCTTGAGCTACTGGGACTTGAGTGCCTTTCAGATTTTGATGAAAATATTGACTTTTCTGAATTACTCATTAGTTTAGTTCTAGCTTTTTCACGTTCCCTGTCTTTGATAATTTTTGCCAATTGATCAGTATTACTGCTTTTAGGTGAACCAGAACTTGATTTAGATGAAGACTTAGATAGATTAATCCCAGTATTAGTAGAAGTTTTAGAATAAGGCACTTTAGGTACGTTACTGTTGTTGCCTGATTCTGAAGGGCTCAAATTCGCTTTAGGCGGTGTTGAGCTCGTTGCTGTACTACTAGATTTCGAAGATTGTAGTACTTGTGTTTTTTTAGAGGCCGGCCCGCTTATTACACCCGGTTTGAGGCCCGTATGTGTTTTAGGAGAACCTTGGCTCGGTGGGGTAAGTTGAGGGGAAGATTTACTAGAACTTGAACTACTGTAGTTTAGTTTTGAACTACTGTTTGAGGACTCTTTTGTTCTAGTTTTATTTATTGTTATTTTCATACCATCTAGACTAGGTTTGACCATGTACTCTTGGTTTTTACTTTCAGACACTTTAGTATTACCAGGTGAGCTGTTTTTTGAATCAGAAAATTTATTAGCACTATTTGATGAGCTAGATTTGGCACCTGCCAATTCAGCGGTATCGGTACCGCAATGTTGAGCAGATTTTAACTTGTCTATCACAGCACTGAGAGAGCCTTTGCGATTACGAGCCTGACTGGGAGCATTCGATTTATTTACTTCAACATTAGGCGGGGATATTAACGGTTCTGTGATCGGACTATCACAGGATATAGGAGTTATTTCTAGTTGTTTTAGCTTCATAGGGTTTTTTAATTTAGGACTACTTCTACCTGAGCTGGAAAAAGATAAACTGGAATGTTTCTTTTCTTTATCTCTTGAAGTCAATGAACTACTTCCATATGTGTCTTTCGACATCTTTTTCGTTAAATCGTATCCAGTAGTTCCAGATTTACCAGAAGGAGAGCCGCTTGTCGCAGATTTTAGAGTAGACATACTAGGTTTTCCTGAACCTGATGAACTATGTTTAGGTGAGGATACGCTATGGTTTTTTGGGCTAGAATATCCGGGCAAATGTTTAGGACTGTTCTGAACGGGCGAATGCCTCGGACTACTTTGGTGACTAGATGTCCCTGATGGTTTACCCATGCCCTTAACTGTGCTAGGACTAGGCGATTTAGTGATGGACACAGACCTACCATGAGTTGGGCTAGGACTAAATTTTCTCAACAGTGAGTTTGGGGAGGTGGGCCTCATGGGAGAACCATCTGTAGGTTTAATGCTGACCGAAACAGGTTTGGTCAAGGGATCTTGTTTGGGTGGTACTTTTTCCGGTGGTCCCATGGAGTCGTCGCGGCGTCGCTTCTTTTTCTTTTCTTTACTTCGTTCTTCTCCAGATCTGCTGGATTTCTTCTCGGACCTGTTACGGTCGTCGAGTGATTTTAGTTGCGATGAAGTAATAGGTGTAATCGTTATCGAGCTGGGTAATGCCGCTGGTGCTGCAGACGTGATGGGTATTATCTCTATACCTGGACGTCGGTCCAAACAGAGCATAGACGATATGTTAGATCCTGAGTTGCTGGAGTTTGATGAATTGGATCCTATTGGAGTAATGCTAACAGAGGACGGCATGTAGGATTTACCTTCAGTAAGATCTAAAAGAAGCGATGATGTACTTCTATTACTCCGACTTTCAGAATCTTTACTTTTGAGTTTTTGCCGTTTGTGATCAGACTTCTGAAAAGAATTCCTGCAACAAATTGAATTATATTTAATTATCTAATATTATATATTTATAGATAATGTGATATTCCAGGGTAGTAAAATTTTTTATACAATTTGCTTTGACAAACAGGATCAATATGTTCAAAGATGGTAAGTGCTTGTTGTAGATAGGAACGACTTAGTCCATATTGATGTTATTTTTGAAAAATAGTGTATAGTATTTTCATACTCAGTAATTTTATTGCCATATTTTATCTTTTATTTAGAAACAGCTAAGCAAATACAGTTGCTTGGAGATACAAACACGAATGAAACACCATGGTTATTGATAATAATTTAAAAATAATGTCACCAAGATTATACAAACCTGATCATGTCCTCTACATCTCCATCATTAGAATTGTCCACGTCAGAGGATGTTCTATTGTCTTGCCCACCGAGTGCGTCGGTGGTATCCATAGCAGATAATTCTAGATCTGATGTGAACTCGTTTTGAGATACGGAAGATTCCCGCCCTTCTATGTCGTCATTTGTCGAGTTACTATTCATAGTATTTTCATCTTCATTCACATACGCATCTGAATTGTCACTTTCACTTTCTGAATCAGCCATTTCACTGAGGCCTGGTTTACCTTTCTTCTGAGTCGACGACCAGATATCTGTGTCGGATTTTCGTTTCTTCGATTTACGGTCCTCCGACGTTTGGGGCTTAGTTTCATTGTTAGTGGAGTCTTGACACATCATAGACAAGTGATGTTGCTGTTCCGAGAGATAGGAACCTGTGGATGTAAAGGTTTTATTGACATTTGTTATTGTATGTGTTTTACCAAACAACGAAAGGAAAAATGTAGAAGACAATTGATCGAGAAGGTTCTCTGAATGAATCTGAATAGAGATTCAGGACAGACTAACACATAATGGGGCAGCATTTACTATAAAAAAAGAGCGAGGGTTATAAAGGTTTTGTAGGGAGTTAACACTTTGCTGACCGGGAATTCCGTGATGGTTGAAAATTTTGGAGTTAAACTAAAATTGTGATAAAAACCCAAATAAAAAAATAAATTTTTGGTCATGAACGCTTTGTAATTCAAACGGTCTTGCCCGTCGTGGTAGAAGGACGTACCTACACGCTAGTGAAATGACGAGTTTACTCGTCACCGGTCAGCAAAGTGTACATATATGTAAATAACCCAGGGTCATTCTTTGTAGCAGTCCATGTTTGGAGGTTTACTTTTGGAGGTTTAGTGGACTATGGAAGGTTGTACTGATGCTTGTTTAAATTAGTGAAACTAGGGAGAAGAGAGATTGTTAGTAATGGGGTCAAATAACCCCATTATTAGCAATATACCCTGTCAGGTCGACCTCCACGTGGTTCCCCTTGGAAACCATCGTGGTTAATTCTAGTTGAATTTGTCAATATGAGCTAACTGAGCTGCTTTCATCCTCACTTATCATATCTCACTGGTGCCTTGCCAGTGTATACCGATAGCGCAGGCGGGGTTACCATACCATTATCACCCAATAAATATAAAAAAAGTAGTGAAACCAAATAATCAATAGTTTTACTGTTTATTTAACTTGTTGTTTATTTATTTAACTTTGAATATTAGTTATAATATGAATAAGTATTGTATATACAAGTATTGTATATTGGTTGTTACTGATAGTGTAATAGGAGGCATATACTTGTGGGGTGCTGCTGGTGATTCTGGTGGTGCTGATGGTGCTGGTGCGGCTGGTGAGCATGTCCGGAGGAGGGGTAGAGCGCGCGGCCGTGCATGTTGCTGGGGGGCTTTACGTCCCCCCCCTCCATGCCCCCCAGGCCGCAGCTAAAATTCGACTCCAGCGCGGAATAGCTGCCGTTCATTTGTTTCGTTGCCGCCTCCCGCTCCCATATTTTGACCAGGGATCTGAAGAATAGTATACTCAATAATTGTAAGGCTAATTAGACGCTTGTATGCTATTACATTTTTGTTAACAGTCTTTACCTACACAAAAAATTGTTATGGAGTGTAAACTTATAATGTTACTATTATATGTGTACTGTAAGTAAAGTGACCAAATTACATGTAAGTTTCAGCGGTAGTTATTCTGTTAAAATATAATATGTACTTAAGCAACTTTTAACAATAAAATGTTATGGTGGGGCGACACATTAAGCTAGTATGTGCAGTATTAAATTAATAATTATTAAACCTATTAATATACAATTTTCTTACTGCACTGCAAGCACTAACATAGATATGATTTGCATTATTATTTTGGAAAGTAGAATATTTATTGTTTGGATTCGTAGTTGTCATAAATTCTACTATTATTTATTTTACTTGAGTCGTAATATAGTAAGCTATGTTAGAGGCCTGCAAGTAGAACGAAGGCGGTTTAAAAACTCTTGTTATCAGTAGGCGATTACTAGGGAGGTAGCAAGATGTAAGAGTACCAACCGCAACGTGACGGGTATAGAGTGGCTCTTCTGCAGCACGCGGCTGATGTAGTCGTCGAGCTGGTCGCGCTGCGCCGCGTGCGGCGAGTGCAGCGCGTGCAGGCGGGCGCGCGGCGCCGCGGGCTCGGCCAGGTCCAGCTCCAGCGTGGCCAGGCTCTCGTCCAGCGGGTGCTCCAGCGCCACCGAGATGTGCTGCCACGACAGCGCGCTCACCTCGAATATTACCGCGTTCTCTATATCCACTGTTGAAATAACACTTAAGGTAGTACCGTATTTATTGTCTGTCCATTGTGGTACATTATATAGGAAAACATGCAATGTGACGCTGTTGATCTTTCTACGAATGTAGATGAATCCGAAGACCGAGCAGAGGTGCTAGCGTTCTGCGGCGTTACGTTGACTTAATGACTATTATTATGCATAGCGTGACAGAGAGTACCAAATTAAATGCAATTTGATGTAGGCCTAATGTAGTGTTAGCACAGAAATGGTAGCGCATTAGTGTCAGAGTGTATTCTATCATGTCTATGGTGTTGTATAAATAGCACTTTATCAATAATTTATAACAATGTGATGTAAAAACACATCACTACCATATTATAAAATAAAGTCATCCGCTGCGTCTGTCAGTTTGTCTGTTCACGATAAACTAAAAAAAGGACGAAAGTTTTGGCAGTGTATTAATGTAAATTAATATTATGTATAACGAGAAAACGAGTAAACGTAACGAAGGGTTATGATTTAATTCAAAAACTATTTAACCATATTTACCAAAACTACATTCCCTAGGAGTAACATAGACTATTTAATATGTTCTGTAAAAAAACCCATACAAAGCCTGGGCAGGTTGCCAGTTAAAGTTTAGGATAAAGTAAGTTTCAGTTCACAAATATAAAAATATTATGTTAAGGTTTTGTATTGGTGACGATTAAATTTTTTTTTTATTTTGTGGCCCGTCAATGTGTTTGCTAAGTTGTATAATGTTCACTTGCGTGCTCGTCACATAAGCACAGAGTATCTTTATATAGGTGAAACTGTATGTAAATAGCCCTTAGTAAATACAATCAGCTTCATAAGAATATTTAGTGATAGGGTGATTAAAATACATGATTTTTAAATGTATGGTCTACTGGATTGATTTACAAGTATAGAGATAACAAACAAATTCAATTTGACATTTAGTAATACTGAAATAAATGATGATGCAAAAGAACGGGTTATATTTTTTTAGACTCGAGAGAGCTCCCGCTCCGTCTGGTTTCTCCGTCCAGTGGACTTGCGGTTGTTTTTTTGTAAGCTACCAACCTCTTTCAAACCTACAGACTAATGCTGCCTGCATTTAGTCCTGCTTTTGCGTAAGAGTTGAAAACAGAAGAGATGTGTTCACTCTCACCGTGTTTGGACTGCGTGCGGACGCAGCTGGCGATGAGTGCGTTAAAGAGTGCCTGCTGGCGGAGGCAGGCAAGCAGCGGCGCCACGTGCGATGGGTGCGTGAACGGCACGCTGCCCACCACGCAGCCCTCCAGCCCGCGTCGTTCCATCACGAAGTAGCACTGCGTCTGCTCCGGCAGGTTCTGACCACAAACATTGGCTGTTTTTAATATTTAACGTGGGAGAAGGTATTATTAGAAATGGGAAGGTTAGTCAATATATCCCCATTGCTATCAATATATCAGGTCGACCTCCACGCGATTCCCCCTGGAAACTATCGTGACTAATTTATTGTTGAATTCGTCATAATGGGTTAAGTGCCTGCCTTGTCATCCTCATCTACCTCTTACTGGTAACCCGCCAGTGCATACCGATAGCGCAGGCGGGGTTATTATGCAATTTTCACCCAGAAAAGAAAAAAAAATTAACGTAGTTCGGAACGTTATCAGACGCCACTTTTATGTTATTTAGAATGGTGATTATAAGCTGATGGCCCACCTAATGGAAAGTACCAACGGGTAGAACAGTAGTAAACTATCGTCTATGTAAATGTGAACAGCACCATGGACATTATAGAATGCACAGTGGTGCCTTTATGCGTTGCCATTCCTGAGGACTATGGTATTATACCTTCGTATCTTGTAATTTCACTGTCATAACCCATTCATCAAAACATAACATCGGTTATACAACAGAAACGGGTGAGATGGTATCTATACAGACAACTTTTCTATGAAGTCTTCCTCTTATAAATTTGAGATGTTTTAAATGTTTTCTGTAATTTTCCCCGCGTGAACTCATTATCTTCTCTTTATGTAAAAAAAAACACGGCCAAGACAACCATAAGAGAAAAACGTATGCAATGGTGTAATTTTATTTTTACGCAAATTCCCAAATATTCAATTTTTCTTTTTTTTTTTTTGTAATACGGAATTTCGTCGCTTATTTTGAATCGTTTTTCACAATTGTTTTTATAATCGAAAGAGTTTATTCAATTATATAATTAGGGTGGTGATGTCGTAAGAGGCGACTAAGGGAATTTAATGGCCGAGGGATGGGCAATTTTGGTGAGTGTTTAAGAGGGACACTCCCTCTTAAAACATCACCGAAACCTAACTACGGTTGCCAACTCGCATGCCAAGCGTGGCAACTATTGACAACACTCCTCCCCCTTTCTTTTGAGGGAGGCCCATTCACAGCAAGGGACAGTTAATAGCTGACATAATAACAATATAAGAGTTTATTCCCCTGTCATATTAATTTTGTGACCAAGGGACAGTTAATAGTATAATTTTTTCTTAAATATCTTTCATATACAGACAACGACCAGTTAAAAAATTTATTACATTAGTATTTTATGTATTTTAGGTAGCATTTTATGTGTAACCCTTTTATAAATGGAATCAAACAATATCAATCTATAAAATATATTGCTATATTAGTAGGTACTTACGACGAAGAGTCCTTTGCTAAGATTCAATTCGATATTTTTTCCTGGATTAAGTTTGTTGTAAGCTTCTTGAGCTACGAGTCCAAGCATAGGTTTCGCGTTAGCCCAGTCACCAGCTACTTCCACCTAAAATAGATACATTTTGTCTGAAATACTAAACATAAAAAATTTAAACTAACAATACGGCCTGACCTCACACGGGGAAATAGATTTATCAAAAAATAATTTACAGCTTTGTGAAAGAGTTTTTAAACTCGATTGAGTAGTTTTTGTGTTTATCCATTACAAACAAATATTAATAAAATTTTTACCTCTTAATATTAGTACAGATTAAACTCTTGGCGACTTACTTGGCGAAAGAAAATTAAAATTCAAATAATTACTAAGTGATTAAAAAATTTCCAAATGGGCAGGATTAAAATAAAAAAAAATCATTATAAATAAATACTTCTGTTGTGGCGTGTATGAGCTTGGCGAGACCGGAGCACAGTGGCATAGGTTGCGATAGCTTGAGCGTGAAGCAGGCTGGCAGCATTGCACTATTCTGGGGCACCAATTGTGCATACACTGGACCATTGCTGCATAAATGTATAAAAAAGTTAGCACATGTGAGTTAAACTTTTTTTAATACTATTGGAAATAACAAAGACGAGTTATCAGAGATAGCGCTTATTGGGCGAAATAATTTCATTAATTACATCAACTAGGCTAGTTGTGTTTCAGTATGACATTAAGAGTTATTCAATTACTTTTGCTGATTGTACTAATATGGAAGATTATCATTAAAACATACATAGTAGGTTTTTATAATGTATTTTTTTTATTAAAATGTTTTCTATTATTTATAAACCGCAGTTGGTTTTGAACCATAAATTATACTGATATAAATGATCAAGATACTATAGTTACAATAAGTATAATGAACCTTATTGATGTAGTTTTAGATTTATGTTAATTTATGGTGAGCTCAGATAATACATTTTTTGACAACATGCCGTAAAATGGACAAAACCCTTTTGATGAAAAATGCTTCAGCCAATAGACATAAGCAAAAACATAGCTAAAATATTCTGACTAGTCTGTAGTATCTACGTCTGTCAGCATTATTTTTTTATTGATCATTAATAGGTAGTAATATTATTTTGTTTTTATATATTTTTTTTATTAATTAGGATACATTATACTCATACTGCTAAATATTTTATGGACACATGGAACTTACTAGAATGTGCTTTTACAGCATCAAATTTTAAAGAAAAAAATATTCCACATATTTTATATGTGTAATATATATATTTGTATCATTTTTTAAGTGGTGCAATGGAGAGTAAATAAATAAATATGTATACACAGTCCATACATACCCTTTTCCAGTTCTTTGTCCTCCTGATATGATAGGCGACAGTTGCAATTTATTTGCAGTCGAACCTTCTAATAAAACAGTAGCAGAATGACCGATTGGTGTATGCGAAGGCGCGACCAGTGACGCTAGGCCACTGGCCGCCGCAGGTTTGCCTAATGTTAAAAGCTCAGTTGTCAATGGTTGCAGTCCTTTGTCTCGATCCAGCAGTTCATATGGTGAGACGAAGTATGTGAGCCGCATGGCGTGACCTATAGGTAATAAAATAAAAATTTATCTCAGTTTCTTGGATATGTTTTTTTTGCAAGGTTGGATATATTCTAGTATACCAATTGTCTTATGTGGTAAGTTGAATCTGGAAAGACGTGACACATATGTCCTTTTCTTTGCAAATTCAAGGTTGCTGCCTAAATGCACCCCACTTCTTCGCATTCAAATAGGGTTGCCACAAATTTGTACTCATTTAATAATTTACTTTGTGATAAAAAATAAAATGCAATCCATTATCATATTAAAGTGGAAAAAGTTTCATAAGCAATAACCTTGTACAAACAAAAATATGAGTAGGTCGACCTCCTATCAGTAGAAGCAATGACACATACAATTTAACAACTCTTACATGACATGGATAAATATCAGTAATATACAAAAGGTTGAGGGGGGGGGGGGAGAAGGGATTGTTAGTAATGTGGACTATTATTACTTGTAACTGCGCCTCCGCCTCCCGGTAACGGTATATGTAGGCGGGACACCAAAAAGGGACGATAGATGAGAATTAAAAGGCAGGTCAGTTAGTTCATTGTGATGAATACACCCGGAATTCAGTACAATGGTTTCCAGGTGGGACCATGAGGAGGTGGAACTGACAGGGTATATCACTAGCAATGGGACTGGTAATCCATATTATTAACAATCCCATCTCCTCCTGTTGACAAGATTAGGGAAGAAATTTAATCTTACCTCCTCTCCGTTTCTGCAAAAAACCAATTGGGCTCTTGTGAACTTGGGCCCAAGGATCCTTTATGAAGCTCTGTAGTTGACGTAGTGTACAAAGATCTTCTTCTAGACTTTGTAGTGCACTAAATGCTTTACATTTAACCTGAAATGATTTAAATTATCTAGTATTAATTAGAAAAGTAAATAAATATTTAGAATTGTAGATCTATTTCATTTAAAATAAAGTTCACAAAGTGAGTATTCGTTATAATGAATATATTTGTAGACTTTATTAAATATATTTTATGGACATTTTTAATAATTGGTTGGAATCTATGTTTGTGGTTTTCTATAAAAATTACAAATTAATGCAAGCATCCTATGTTTAAATTTAGGATATGTAAATGACTGAGTAAAGATTAATTTATTCAAATTTTCACATAACAGATTAATTCTTATTAACTTGGATATTTCAAATCACTATTGATAGTTGCAATTTAAAATTTATAACAAAAATAACTAGTGGCCTGCCATAGTGTACTCATGAAGAAAATGAGGCCAAATCTTTCTTTTACTATACAATGTTTAATACTAAGTAAAGTTAACTTACTATTTAATTGATTAAAATAATGATTTTATCAGTCAAAATGTTGCTATTCCGTTTTTCAAATCAATGTACAAAAATCAAAATACATTTGAATCATAAAATTAATCTTTTCAATGGGCTTTATAGCTGGTTCATCATCATATCAGCCATTAACTGCAAACTGCTAAATATAGGGTTCCTTTATAAGGGGGTTTTGCTAGTAGTCGCCACATTTGACAGGCGGGTTGGCAACCACAGTTAAGCTGTTTAAAAAGGGATGCTGTTGCCCATCATTCGACCATTAAATTTCTTTAGCTGCCTTTTATTATACCCATGGGAGAGGAAGTGGTGGTCTATTCTATACCAAGACCACACTAACAGCTGGTTGGTAGCTAGTAATTAGTGAATAAAGAACATTATCCTCAGAGAATAGATATGGTCATATAATTCACTGTTTGTGTAGATATGGTCATGCCTGTGAAGTGAACACATTAGTGTATCTACTTACTTTTTTCTCAGCATTTAACTGGTAGACTGCAATGAGTCCCTCTAATTGTGCAGTGAAATCAGCAAAATCACCTCTTGTTATACATGAAACTAGTTCTTCACAACTTTGCTGTTCAATCTAAAACAATGATTCCAAATTTGTATTTTTTTTAAATTGGTAGTGTTTATATGTCTTTACATATATTATAAACATGTATAATATAATATCATGACTATTTATCCCATTTTATCATATCTAGGAAGTGTATGAACATATATGTCTCTTAGAATTATAAGTGGAGTGGTGCCTAATTCAGTACAACCCTGTATTTAGGTACTAGGCAGGTACAGTGTCACTGTAGTATTATTTGACAGTTAAAAATTAAAATAATCTTTATTCACACTTGTTTATAACTCTTTTAAATGATAATTTTTATAATTCTACTGTTGGATTCATTTGTTGTTATCTGCTGAGAAGAACCAACAAGAAAATCAGCAGTTACTATTAGCAGTTTGTATTGTGGAATTGTAAAATATCCCACTGTTATATAATCTGTTAGATTGAAGGAGTGTCTCTCAAAAAAATATTACTTTTTTGTTGTATCAATATGATTAAAAGGTCAATGAAGTTACAGTTTAGAAATATGAATATTGGAATTGATGGAATAAATAATATTAAAATAAGAAATAAGGTTTTCTATATAAAAAAAATTACCCTTCCTTCATGATGAATTTTAACATCCTTTACTGCACCAGAGAATTCCACTAGTATTTCTAAATAGAACATGTCTGATGATATAAAGATATTTACTCCCGATGTGCCCACTACAAATTTTAAACTGAAATAAAATAAAATTTTGATTATATTTTACTAGTTGCATGGCTTTGTCTGCATAAATCAATATATAAAGTATTCTACATGGTAAGTTACAATATAAGTTTTTTATGTATTAAATTTCATTTAAATCGGTTCAGTAATTTTTGCATGAAAGAATAACATGCTTTCATCCATTCTCAAACATTTTCATGTTTGTAATAGTAATAGGATAAGACAGAATTAAAAAAAAAAAAGACGATAGGAAGAAAAATATAAATCTTGGGGATAACTGTATCATATGTATAAATTTAATGTATTTGGTATCATAAAATAAAACTATTTATACATATAAGTATAGACAATTGAAAGTACAAACCCAAGTTGTCTTGATAAGCATTCAAGCCTTTCTATTAGGCTTTGAAGAGAACTAACTTTAATGCAGTGTTGTAAGCTGTCCAGGCATTTTTGTAGTGTCATGCGGTCTGCACTGTCAACAGCCCATCTTTTGTCCTACAAAATACAGTATTTTAGATAATGTTGTTAAAAAAAATTACAAAAAATATAGATATCCATACCAATAAAGCCATCCGAACGGCCTTAGAAGTTTCTGATAAATTTTTAAACTGTGATGTTTTCGATCTGAGTTTCTCCATAAGAATTTCCTTTTGAAGCTCCTTAGATTTATTTAGCAGGCCATTTGTAGGCGCCATGATTACAGGTTTATTTTCCGTCATTTCGTCGAGTATTTTTATTTCAGTAAAAATTGAAAATTGAATGTTATCACACTATGAGGCACGGAACACCTGATACGTTTTGTTTTGATTCTTGTTGACAGTCATATCCTGTAATTGATGATTTGTTTAAATGTCCTTCAGTATTTTCCTCATTATTAAAATAAATTAATATCAAAAACACTTTTACTATTAGATAAAAATAATTTCTTTAATCCATTCACAGCACAAAATGTCATTTTCATGCGATGCCATTTGCTATAAGCCAAACTGTTGAAAAAGTATTTCATATTATAAACTAAATTGATAGGAAGCTAAAATTGTATATAAAATCTGTACAACAGTAGAGTATAGATGAAATGTCAAAGGTTCTTCTTAGGTCTTCTTAATTTATCTGGATAATACTAATGCCACAGCAATAACTACGTTCAGAAATCACAGAGACATGTTTGATATTTTTTTTTCAAGTTTATCTTTATTTCTAAACGAGGAAATATTTATTTAGAAATTTGTCTGAATTGTTATATGAAGAAGGACCATGAAAAAATGGTTCAATTCTTCAGATTTAGATAGATAACTCAATTTAGACTTTTTAGTCAAGAAAGTCCTTTTAGTCCCTGCGAGCATTAGTGTATTAAAATTATTTTTAGGGGGGGTCTAGCCCCTAAAAAAGCTCATTGAACACTGGATAAAACTGAAATGGGTTGAACAGGGTTGAATCCTCTTCTCCAAATCTTAAAAACGTTTATGCCCACGAGATTTATTAAACAGTAATTTCTCGAAATTATTGAATTAAAATATTAGATTAACATATAGGTTTACAGAATATTGTTTCAGAATCGAGCTCATTCTTTAATTTTGTATTAGGTACTTAAAAGCGATTAGGGAGTGAAAAGGTCACACATTAATTGTTGCCTCTCTAGAACGATTTAAGAACTAAATTTACTGTTGTAAATTAGTCCTCTCTTTTGTAACTTGATTGCAAATAACATTATTTGTCGCAAAAAAATTTACTTAATCTATTTAGCGATTAGGAAACAATTGTGCTACGTAATACCATTTATTTATATTTATCGTGTTGAATAGATTGTTTTGAACAGTTTGATTTTATAGGGAAACACACTTCGGTATACACTTATGGATCACCATCGAAGGTGATAGGTGATGATGAAAGCAGAAAGGTGATCCATCGTGACGAATTATACTAATTATTTAAACATTAATTACAGGTGACACCGCGTGAAGGTCGATTTGACAAGGTATACTTATTGGTAACAATGGGTCATGAGGCCGGTAGTCCTTGTTACTATTTCTTCACCGCCTATTTAAATATATTTGAATCTTCTTACAGGTGAAATAGAAATCTTTAGCATCCTCTTATAGGAGTGGAGTGTCCTACCAGGGAAACTGAATATTTCTTTATTCTTTATTGTACACAAAATATAATGTTAACCACAATTCATGTGAAACATAATGTAGGTACAAAGGCGAGCTTATCTCTAATAAGAAATTTTTTCCAGCAAACATTTTCATGTAATTTGTATATTATTTTAAAATTAAAAATAGGCAGTCATATAATTACGAATAGATTAAATATAGAATATTTTACGAATAGATTAAACTAGCTTTTACCCGTGATTTCGCATGACTGGGACATGTTCATAAATTGGGATAAAAAGTACCCCATATCTAATTTTCTCCTTCTCGAGGGAAAAGGGATTGTTAGTAATGAGGAATAGCAATCTATATTACTAGTAATCCTATCAGGTCGACCTCCTCGTGGTTCCCCGTGGAAACCATCGCGACTGATTCATTGGTGAATTTGTAACGATGGGCTAATGACTAACCCAAATGTTTCATCGTTATTTATCATCTTTCGCTTGTGCCCTGCCAGTGTATACTGATGTTGTAGGCGGGTTTATTATACCATTACCATGAATAAAAAAAAAACCGGTCTCCTTCATATACATATCAAATTTCATAATGATTAGTAAAGCCGTTAAAGCGCTATAAGGTAACAAACAAACAAATTTACTTTTACATTTATAATATTAGTAAGGATTGTAGCCATTATAGTTCTTGTGAAAGTACAAAATATAATTTAGGTATAGCAGAAGCAACTTCATTCTATTTATTAAGTGTAATTTTAAAAAATAATTGAACTTTTTTTAACTTCTTTGAGTGACTATTGAAAGAGTATTCTGCTAACGAACTAAAACGTTAATCATGCAATGATGTTATTATATGCGATCAAAATGGAAATTTACAAAAAGGTATTTGAAAAATTTAGAAGCATAATAGGTGTAAGGTTTTTAATGGTAAATTTATATGTAATGATTAACGTTTTAGTTCGCTAGCAGAGCAATTTTTAAATAATCAGGATAATCAGACTTATCAAATTGTTTTTGAAAATTAATCGGTGACAGCGACGTTGCCACACTTCGTCAAGCTAAAGTTATGAATGTTCTTAATATAAAAATCCAATGTAACCATTGAAATGGATTTCATGTGAACAATTTTAAAATCCCTTATGCGTATATTATGTGAACTCTTAATAAAATATTTGCATAACTTAAAGTTTGCAATATGAGTTTTATTTATCTGAAAAGAGTGGTTACATAATCTGCCTAGTTAGAGAAAAAAAACATCCTTATCCATAGCTTATATAATGAAAAGGAGAATTTTTCCTTAAATACTTAGGTAGTACCTGCTAAATGCAGTTTTTCATTCAAAATATTTATCTTAATCTTTGTATGTGTAAATAATATAGCTATACTAATGTAACATGTAAAAAAAATAACGGTTTTGAAATGTTTTATCAATGTTGGCACTAGCTATTTCCCGTATTTTGGTCCAAGGGGACTAGTATTATCCATTCCTATGGGACTTTCCAAATACCATTCACTTGAAACTGTGCAATAATATTTCTAACAGATTCGGCTGTGTGTTGATCTGTGTGATTCTTATGGTTATATATAAAAAACTGATTCTTATGTTATTGTATTACATAAGCATATTGATTTTATACGTGAACATGTAATACTCTGTTTTACTATGTCTATGGATTTTAGAAAATGAAAATATATAATAATGAAAAAATTGTTTATTTTCTTTTTAATAAATATATGATAAAGGGATCGATTAGATCAATTATTCCCCAAGAATTAAACACGATGGTTTCCAGGAGACTGCGTGGAGACCGAGCTGACAGTGAGCTTCATCCAAAAACATAATCACGGTCTAAAACATTTATTCACAGTCAGTTAGCGATGCGCGAATCAGAATGATTTTGTTGTTCGAATAATTAGTAATTACTAATTTTATAATTCGACTACTAAATTAGTAATATACTAATTTCCGTATTCGAGTGATTTTACTAATTAGTAACTAACTACAACCGTCTTTTTTCTGAATCTGTTTAGTACTAAGTTTATTCCACAGTCTGTATTCATTACTACTACCTACATTACTAGCTTAGTAAAAACGCGAACGAAAAAAAACTATCATCAAGTACTGAAATATAATTTTTATAATACGTGTTGTAATACTTTCGCAATTTTCTATAAAAATTTTACTTACTTTTATCAAAACTTGGTAACTTTAAATTGGCAATTCATTAAAAAATTAAAACGATCCAATGATCGGGTTGAGTCGTGGTCGTTCGTGAATGTTCGTGTCGAACGACTACTAATAAATAATATTAGTAGCCGGACGAGATTAGTAGTCGACTGACATTAGTAGTCGGATGAATAAAATTAGTAGTTGAATGATTTAAAAATAATTCGAATAATCTGAATGATTTGTTCAATCGAATAATTAGTAGTCGTAATCCGACAAAGACTAGTAAAGTCCTACATCACTACCCTCAGTCACGGCCGCGTACACGTGCTCTTCGTGTGAACACTGCTTGTCTCAAAGTTACAACTTCTGAATAACCATCAGTGAAACGCACAATATTTTTTTAAATATAGACCAAAGTCATATCTCTAGAGTTTTTCTTTTTTTCGGTAAATTATTGAATTTTCGAGATTCAGGGGTCGTCAGGGGTCAGCGTCGAGCGTCAGGGGTGTTCTTCTCTAGAAATCTGTCCGATTCTAGAATAAGGTCATACGAGTATGCGACCCCGGCCTCCCGAGCCGCTGCAGTGTCCCAGTCTTTCCGCAACTGCAGTGTCCTCCCCACTTTTCCTTTCCCACATAAGTCCCTTATTCCTTTCATTCACCAATTTCCTTTACTCATTTCCAACGTTCCCTTCCTTTTTTCCTCAATCCTTTCCTCCATACCGTAGGTGGCGGAAACCACCAACAAATGCATTCTCAAAGAGGGTTGACGTCAGGCAGGAGGCCGGTCGTAAAAAAAAACACATCTTTTTGTAATATGGATGAAATCATATTACGCCGACTTCAAATGATTGGGATAAGGGTAGGAAAATGATGATGATTGTATTTTCGAGATTGGAGTTTTTTGACAGAAATAGACTGAAAAACACCATCATGAAAATTGCAATCAACCATGTAGTCCCTAAACTCTTGACACCAGGGAGATGTCGCGCTTTCGATGAAATTTGATAAAAAAAAATTCAAAATAAAAAAAGAGTGATTCAGGCCTGTATGTTCACTTGTGAATGTATATATATATATATATAAACATATATTACGTACGATTGGTATTTTTGCCATCTGAATTTGGAACATGCCTTTTGTATCCTTCTCACGTCGCGGCCTGAACTAAAGGGATCAAATGATTAGAATAAGTGAGATACCTTAATGAATTGAATAAAGATGCTCTCGCTACATTACACGACCAGTAAAGTTTAAATATTTTTTTCAGATGTATGTTGATAATTTCGAGGTTGCCCTCGCATATTTTTTTTATTATTAATTATTATTGTTTATGATCGCATTTTAAAAAGAGTTTTAAGGCATTAACAATGATCCGATCAATAAATATTTTTCATTCAAAGATTTCATGTATGAATAAAAAGTACAGTTTTTATATATTATTCAATTACAATTAATTTTTTATAAATAACAAGTATAAATCGAAACAGTTATTGTCCAGCACTATGTGAAATACGGACATACGGCTAGACAGCTTGCTTGCAGATGTACAAAAAGAAATTATATGGGTCTCGTTGTAAAGGAAAAATGTAACTTATTTCTTTATAGGAACTGAAGGTTGTTCCTGTTCATTTTACTTGTTTTGGTTTATAATGAGAATTTAGATAAATGTCGATATATATGGTTACTCGTATATGAAATGGTTTTGGCAGAAGT